AAATTTTAAATTCAAATGATTCATCTTTAAATTTTAAGTATTTAAGTTTATTGATCAAAATTTTAAATTTTATAATGTCTTAAATAAATCTCCCTCCACCAAATTGTAAACGATTAAAAAATATATATATTTATCATTTATATGACGATAAAGTTTTCTATCTTTATTTGTTTTTCAAATTATACTAAATTTACTTTTACCTATCAACTCAGTAGATCTATACGGACGATCCCTTGCACCGTTGGTTCCGTCCCAGCTTGCCACTTCCCAAAAGTGCTCCAAAGGAGTCCCAAAAACTCTCGAAGAGTTCGGAATCCCGGTAGAACCCCGCCAAAAGTCTCAGAAGCGCAACCAAATGCGTCTTCATTCTGAACTCCCTAGTGCCGACACCTTCAGTAAATCGATGAGTAAAGTCCGTGTGGGACTTTTGGGCCAAAATGCAATGTCGCTTGATGGCAAAAAAGACAGTACTGGTCCCTAACTTCTGATTTCTCTGCACTTTAATCTTCATATATTTGATCTATGCAATTTGATCTTAAAAGTTATGATTTCTTCCAAATTATGTAAAATCAAGTAAATTCTTATAAAATTCATTCAAATATCAGTAATAGTAAGATAAAAATTTTATATTAATATTTATGAAATTCCAACTTATCAAATATATTCCTTATTAAGTTGTTTAATTTACTTTTTAAAATTTCATCTCATTTTAGATAATAAAGAATAATCAAGAAGATTATATACGAATTATTTAACTTTATGGAACATTACATTTATTCACTTTATGTTATTGGTTAATTAAGTTGGACTATATATTTAGAAGTTATATGAGATTATGATACTAAGATTGAATTATTAAGGGTACAATTTAAGTTGGTAAATCTATAAAAAAAAAAAAAATTTGCAAAGATTTACATTTTTGATAGCCTTTTGCATTTGTATCGGTGTGTGGGTTTTGTCCTGTCTTGACCTATGAGTTTGAGCATGACAAATTTTCAATTGCTTAGCTTTGTAACCAGCTGTATGGCCTTACCTAGAATTTTCACAATCCCGAACAAAGCTAGTCGATTACTTTCCGCAACTTTCTCATATTCTTCTTTAGGGGACTATGCAAGCCAAACAAGCCCTAACTCATTTTCTCTATAGGAAAACAATTTAATTTGATAAATCATCTATTAATTATTGATATTTTTTAATTTTAATCTATTTTTTTTTTCTAAAGTTGTCTATTAAGCTTCCAAAATTACATCAATTTCATCTACTTAAAAAAACCCCGTTAGTTAGATTGACAGAAGTTCATGGCATTGTGGAAGCTGCAGCGCAAGCAATGCATAACTTGAACATAGCAGGAAAAATCTCGTCTCTTGACTTCCCTAACCTAATTAACAACAAATAATTAAATTATAATCTAATCTAATTTAAAAAACTTAATCAAAATAACAAAAATAAAATTAATCAGGCCTCAAGCTATTTATTGACAGCTTATGCAATGCTACACAAGTGATGACATGAACTTCTATTAATCTTATTAGTGGAATTTTGTTAGTTAACAATTAAGATAAGTTTAAAAATTAATAGATGACTTTAAAAAATTTTAGATTAAAATGAAAACGTATTAATCGTTAATTGCCGATTTATTAAATTAAAGCACAAGAAAACATGAGAATATAAAGTCCCGTCACTCGTAAGTTGCAAATAATACGGCCCGTTGCAAGGCCCAGTCCAATCTTACCGAGGGAAAATATATACAGTGCAGAGTGCACAACGCATGGCAGCATTAGTCTCTTCTACGACGCCGTCTCACAATGCAGCTCGTCTTTTGCTTCTTCCTCTGGTTCTTCACTCTCGTTTCTTTCTTCCACTAGGCTAATGATTTGGGAAGAACAATTTTTTTGTTGTTACGTTTATTTATAATTTTTATATATTATTTAATTAATAAATACATATTATATAAAATTAATAATATTAATAAAGTAAAAAATTAATTATTAAATAACGTTAAAATTATATAAAAAATTATATAAAAATTTATCACTCAATTCAACTAATACGAAACTAATGACAGACTGTCCTTATAAGCTCACTGGTTAATAACTAGCTTTATTTTTTTTTTTTTGAACGATTTATAATTAAGAATGGAAGATTCGAATCCCATTTTTAAATCGTAGAAATGCATTTTACAATCAGATTTGGAGTAGTCGGGGGACAAGGTACAGGTCCATCAAGCTAATATTGTTGAAAAAAAAGAACGAACTAATGGATAAGTAGCATGTGAGGTGAGACGCCGTCGTTTAAGTAACAAACCAAGGCTCGAAACGACACCACTTTAAGAAACTATATATAATAACCGTATCAGGCAAGTTTCTCGTCTCTCTCGTCCCTCACAGTTCGCCCAAAACCCAAATACAATCTGCGTGAAATTATTTATCATTAGATTTTGAGCAATTTTTCCTGCGATTCGATGCCTCCGAAAGCCGACGGAGCCGAAGGTAACAAATCAACGGCGACAACCAATCTTTTCCGTCTATTCTCTTCAATTTGGAGATTTCCACTCCGAAATTAATCTCAACTCATTCCATATCCGAGTTCGTTTCTTACTCGACAACTATACTTCTCGGCAACTCAGAGCTCAAACAACCAGTAGCCCTCACCAGAGAAAAGATAGAGGTAGCACAGAAGGGGAATGTTGTCATAGAGAAAAATGCTGACGGAGAATACA